TTTTTTTTATTTATTTGACAGAGAGAGACACAGCGAAAGAGGGAACACAAGCAGGGGGAGTGGGAGAGGGAGAAGCAGGCTTCCCGCTGAGCAGGGAACCCGATGCGGGGCTCGATCCCAGCACCCTGGGATCATGACCTGAGCTGAAGGCAGACGCTTAATGACTGAGCCACCCAGGTGCCCATGGACAACTTTCTTAATTTTTAAAATTCTTCCTCTACCAACCTCTTATAAATTAGCATTCCCCAAGGTTTTGTCCTCTCATTATAAAAGACACTCACTAATTTCTTCTATACACATACTTCCAATTACTACCTGTAAGCTGTTAAGATACAAACTCATATCCCCAACAAAATCTCCATCCCTAGTGCTATTCAAATACCCAACAGCCTACTGGACATCTCTATCCTGATTTCTTAAAGGCACCTTAAACTCAACTGTCAGTCTACTATGTTCATCCTCCACAATTTATTACACCACCATCCACCCACATCAGGAAAATAAAGTAAAAAAAAAAAAAACTATATAATGACAGCAATGATGAAAAAGCAGCATTTACATTACAAAAATACCCAGAACAGCCCAAATGCCCAAAAAAGCAAAAATAAAATGCCAACAAAGAATTCTGATAATCTGGGTGGCTCAGTTGGTTAAGTGTCTGCCTACAGCTCAGGTCATGATCATCTGGGGTACTGGGATTGAGCCTCAAATCAGACTCCCTGCTCAGCAGGAGGTCTGCTTCTCCCTCTCCCTCTGCTCCTCTCCCTCACCCTGCTCATGCTCTCTCTCTAATAGATAAAATCTTTAAAAAACAAAAAAAGAATTTTGATAATCATTAGAAATAAAAGGTATACAACCTGCATAAATATGATTTTCCAAGAAAGACATTAATGAATGTGTCATATACAACTGTGCTAACACAGAAAAAACACACTAAAAGCATATACATTAAAGCATCAATAGTGGTAAAGATGGAGATGAAAGAGTACACAAAGAAAGAAGGAATACTTTTACATTTTACTTATATGTTTATACAACGCTTGTATCTTCCACATCAAAAATGAACATGCTTATCAGCTATGAAATGAAAAAACAATATACTGTTTATATCTATGTAAAATATATTGGGAAAGCTTGAAAGTGAATCTGAATACATCTACATAATAACCCGTACACAGATGTTCATAGCAGCATTATTCGTAATAGTCAAAAAGTGGACACAATCTAAATGTCCATCAACTGATAAATAGATAAACAAAATGTGTTATACACCTCTTACCAATTGTTATTTAGCCATAGACAAGAATAAAGTATTCATACAACCTACATGGATTAACCTTAAAAACATTATGCTAGGGGCGCCTGGGTGGCTCAGTCGTTGAGCTTCTGCCTTCGGCTCAGGTCATGGTCCCAGGGTCCTGGGATGGAGCCCGGCATCAGGCTCCCTGCTCAGTAGGAGGCCTGCTTCTTCCTCTCCCACTCCCCCACTTGTGTTCCCTCTCTCGCTGTCTCTCTTTCGGTCAAATAAATTAATTAAAAAATTAAAAAAAAAACACACATTATGCTAAGTAAAAGAAGCTGGTCACAAAAGGCCACATGTTGTATGATTCAATTAATATGAAATGTCCAGAACAGACAAATCTATAACAACAGATAAATTGGTGGTAGTAAGGGGCTAGGAAGAAAATGAAATGAGGAGTGACATACTAATATAGGCATGGGGCTTCTTCTTGGGGTGATAAAAATTATTCTAAAATTAGACATCAGAGGGGCACCTGGGTGGCTCAGCCAGTTAAGCATCTGCCTTCAGCTCAGGTCATGATCCCAGGCTCCCTGCTCAGTGGGGAGTCTGCTTCTTCCTCTCCTCAACCCCCCTCATGCTCGCTCTCATTCACTCTCTCAAATAAATAAAATCTTTTAAGTTAAACATTGGTAATGGTTGCATAATTCTGTTAATATTCTAAAAACTACTGAACTCTATTAAGGGTAAGTTATAGCTCCATAAGCAGTTACCAAAAAGTGAATATGAAACAAAGATTTTATTATTTTTTTTTTTAAGGATTTTATTTATTTATTTGAGAGAGAGAATGAGACAGAGCGAGAGAGCATGAGAGGGGGGAGGATCAGATGGAGAAGCAGACTCCCTGCTGAGCAGGGAGTCTGATGCGAGACTCAATCCCCGGGACTCCAGGATCATGACCTGAGCTGAAGGCAGTCGCTTAACCAACTGAGCCACCCAGGCGCCCCAAAACAAAGATTTTAATATGCACTAAACTTTTAAAATAAGCCTAAATTTGTGTTCTGAAAATTATCTATTTTTTTTCTTGAAAAAAGTCTCACTTAGGACGCCTGGGTGGCTCAGTTAGTTAGGAATCTGACTTCTGCTCAGGTCATGATCTCAGGGTCCTGGGATGGAGTCCTGCACTGGGGTCCACACTCGGCGGGAAGTCTGCTTTCTCCCTCTCTCTCTTTCCCTCTGACCCTTCCCCTGCTTGTGCTTGATCTCGCTCTCTCAATAAATAAAATCTTTAAAAAAAAAGAAAAGAAGCCTCACTTAGTGACTTCACTTAGTGATAAACTTTCAAATACCTGTTGAACTGATTTAACAAAATAAATTTCAAGGGATGCCTGGGTGGCTCAGTTGGTTAAGTATCTGCCTTCAGCTCAGGTCATGATCCCAGGGTCCTGGGATGGAGTCCCAGGTCAGGCTCCTTGCTCAGCGGGGAGCCTGCTTCTCCCTGTTGTGTGTGCCTCTGCCTGCTGTTCTCCCTGCTTGTGCGCACGTGTGCGTGCACGCTCTCTCCCTCTCTCTGACAAATAAATAAATCTTTAAAATAAATAATAAATTCCAAATTTTCATGTTAACAGGATTATCTTCTTAAAATTTCCCATGATTTGTTTTATTCAGTAACTGAATTTTCTGAGCTAAAATATTCTAAGACTATATATTTTAAATATACCCAGTGACAGATGCTGGGGCTAGGCATATTCCTGTCCTCAAAAACCTTACAGAAAAGTTATTTAAGTAGTATATATCCTCTAAAATGGAACTATATCGTGACTCTTGACCTCAGGGTGGTGATTTTCAAGCCCCGCATTGGGACCTAGAGCTTACTTGAAAAAATAATAAAAATAATAAATAAGCAAAAGATTAAAAAGTAAAAAAATAAAATAAAATAAATGAATAGATAGATAGCACCTGGCTGGCTAAGTCAAGAGAGCATGCAACGCTTGATCTCCAGGTGGTTAACTTCAAAGCCCATGTTGGGACCTGGAGCTTACTTAAAAAACATAAAATAAAATAGAACTATATCTGCATTATAAATAACATATATCAGAAAGACTGTACTATTTGTAGGAAAAAAAATAAGTTAAATTATATTTGCCTTTCTCTTAACCATCACTAAAAAGGATACAAAAGAAACATTTCCTAATCTAAAGTCCTCAGAAGTGGCACCTGGATGGGTCAGTCGGTTAAGCGTCTGTCTCTGGCTCACGTCATGATCCCAGGGTCCTGGGATGGAGCCCCGTGTCAGGTTCCCTGCTCAGGGGGAAGTCTGCTTCTCCCTCTCCCTCTGCCCCTCCTTCTGCTTGTGCTCTCTCTCTCTCAAATAAATAAATAAAATTAAAAAAAAAAAAAGTCCTTAGAAGAGCTCCTGGCACATAAGCACCTGTTAAGTATACTAATAATTTTTTTTTTTAAAGATTTTGTTTATTTATTTGACAGAGAGAGACACAGCGAGAGAGAGAGAGAGAACACAAGCAGGGGGAGTGGGAGAGGGAGAAACAGGCTTCCTGCGGAGCAGGGAGCCTGATGCAGGGCTCAATCCCAGGACCCTGGGATCATGACCTGAGCTGAAGGTAGACACTTAACGACTGAGCCACCCAGGCGCCACCACTAATAATTTTCACTTAACAACTTCATTTCCATATTATCATTATCCCTTTCAGCTTCAATAACTACATTAATTCTAAACTGTTGAATGATTTACATTAAAGCAACAGTTCTCAAGGTGTGATATGGGGACTATGGGGATTCCAAAGATCCTTTCAGGGGGTTCATTAGATCAAAATCATTCTTGAATAAAAGATCAAAGTGCAAAACACACCAATGAATTTTAACACAACACTGTACAAAAAGTATATAGAGGCATTTCAGATTCCACATTGAAAGTACCCTTTAAGAAATTACCACTTGTTGACTTTTGTTGTAGAATCAAAGAAGAATATCACAATTATCTGAAAAGATTATTAAAGTACCCCTCCCAACATATTGGTGTGAAGCTGAATTTTCTTCATACACTCCAACCAGAACAACATATGACTGAATGCAAAAACTGATAAGAAAATCCAGCTGTCTTCTATCAGGCCAAATATTAAAGAGATTTACAATGTAAAACAGTTGCCATTTTTTCACTAAATTTTTTTTGTTTTGGAAAATAGTTTTTTAATAAAAAATATTATTTATGGGGCGCCTGGGTTGCTCAGTCGTTAAGCGTCTGCCTTCGGCTCAGGTCATGATCCCAGGGTCCTGGGATCGAGCCCCGCATCGGGCTCCCTGCTCAGCGGGAAGCCTGCCTCTCCCTCTCCCAGTCCCTCTGCTTGTGTTCCCTCTCTCACTGTGTCTCTTTCTGTCAAATAAATAAAATCTTAAAAAAAAAAAATTATTTATGTAACCTGTAATTAGTTTGTTAGCTATTTTTAAATGAATTAATATATTTAAATTAACTTAGAATACAATAATTACCAATAGATATAAACCATATAAACAAAAGCTACTTAAGTCCTACATCATTTTTAAGAGTGTAAAGGGATCCTAACCAAAAAGTCTGAGAAACACTTCTTTTCCTTTTTTTTTTTTAAAAAGATTTTATTTATTTGACAGAGAGAGCGACAGCAAGAGAGGGAACACAAGCGGGGGAGTGGGAGAGGGAGAAGCAGACTTCCCACTGAGCAGGGAGCCCCATGCAGGGCTCGATCCCAGGACCCTGGGATCATGACCTGAGCCGAAGGTGGATGCTTAACAACTGAGCCACCCAGGCGCCCCTGAGAACCACTTCTTTAAAGTAATACTTAATACCCCATTTTTATTTACACTGAGTTTTCATCTCTGTGAATCTCACATATGCAGCCACAAATGTTTAAAGCTGTAGAAAACAGAGGACATAAATCTTGCTTTCTTCAGATGTACTATAATGCAATTAAGCATAAGATATTGCCCCCTCAAAAAAAAGGATGAAGTTAACAGAATTATCCATCTGCCAAAAGTAACTACAGTAGTATGATACAGCTGTAATATAGAACTTATGCAGAAATAGAGCCAAAGAACTTTCACTGTGCCAAGAAAAAGATGCACAGAAAAATCTGAGCTGCTGAAGGGGTAACACAGTCCTGAAGTGAATTACAATCTATGATAACAATTTTACCGGAGTTGATTTCAAACTACCACCTAGACTTCCCAATAAAGGTTAATCATAGAACTCTACACGAACATAAATCTGCCCCAAAAAGTCATGGAAAAATATTTATCTATTAAATAACCATTATTTTGAATTGTGCAATGCTAGTTACCTTAATTATCACCTTAATTACCAAGCTAAAAAAGGCCATCCAGTAATGGGGGGTAATGGCATTCATTAATTAGGGCCCCTTTTCCTTCCTTTTCGAAGCATGCCTAGCACAAAACCTTGTATGCGTCTGATGTTAAAAAAAAAATTATCGTGGGGCACCTGGGTGGCTGAGTTGTTAAGCATCCGCCTTCCGCTCAGGTCATGATCCCAGGGTGCTGGGATCGAGCGCTGCATCGGGCTCCCTGCTACGCAGGAGGCCTGCTTCTCCCTCTCCCACTCCCCCTACTCGTATTCCTGCTCTCGCTATCTCTGTCAAATAAATAAAATCTTAAAAAAATAATTATTCATTACAGAATTATAATACTAGCCAATGGGAAATGATAGAAAATTTTCCTGAGCCAGGATGATTAAGGTGTACAAAAGCCCATAAGCCAGGGCAAGTTTTGTTCTAAGAAGGGTACTTCCAAAGTCACATATCTAACCTAAGGGCCATAAAACTGCATTCTGCCTAAAAGGGTTAAGTGTCTGTTAGAGTTTTCTCATTTCCTCACATACTCTAGGCCTAAATTTGCAGCTTCCAAACTAATGCTTTTCAAGCACTTTTCATCCTACTCTCATATCTAATTCCATAATGAGAATTTTTAAGTTCTTCAAATTAAAAATAGTTCCATTGTCGTAGATGCCCTATGAAAAGCAGAAACTAAGGACCCAATAAAAAGATACACTGAATATACCAGAGTTCACTGCAACCAGGTTTTAAACTGAAATCCATGTTACCCAGCTTTTTAAAAATTAAAGGAGGAAAAACAAGACCCGTCCACATCTTCCTATTCCACCAAGTAGCACTCTTTTATTGGTTTTTGTGAAGGCTTATTATTTATTGAAATATCATGTGATAATACTAGTTAAATACTATGTGCTCCAATTACTTCCTGCTGAAAGATTCCCATTTCAACTACCTAAAGGTTCACAGTACTTCTCAAAGCACAACGATTTAACTCCTTCCTCCTCCCCCGCTGCGCTCCCCCCACCCCCGAAAAATACAGTACCTGCAGCAGGGTTTCCAGAACTTAACATTTAGAGGTGGGGGTGGGGAGGTGAGGGCTAGGGGATGGGGAGAGGTTGGGAGTGTGGGGGTGGGAGAGTTCTCTCATTTTTGGACTCGCTATCCCATTCTGCCTGAGTAAAACAAACCCCCGTTGTAAATAATCTTATTAACAGTTTAGGGCCCAATTCCCTTCTGCTCGTATCTATCCCTATAAACTTCACTATGGCCTTCAATGCACCCATTTTTACTCTAGAGCAGCCCTACCTGTGCCCAGACTTTCAGGTTCAACCTGAATTACTCCATGACCTTGGACCCGGGCCACTGCTCCCCTCCAAGATCCCCACATCACACCCCGCAGACTGCAGAGGCCTCAAAGTTCACGTCGGGTCGGCGCCCGGGGCGAAGGCAGGGAAGCAAGCCGCAAGAACCGCAACTCCGCGATGGCTGGTGGGGCTGGCTCCGGGAAAACGCGGGGAAGGAAAGACGCCGGGGGCGGGGACAAGGCCGGGGGCTACCTGCGGGCCAGCGCCGACACCGCCCCAGTAGTCGCAATGGCTACACGCCACCTCCGGGTTCTGGATGCCCTCTCAGCCGCCTTGAGAGCCCTGGCCTGACCCGCGGTCCTCGGTCATGGCCCCTTATTACCTCTGCCTACCCAGCAGTGGCAGGTGATGAGGCGACTGGGCAGCCGAGACGCGCAGGCTAACTGCCTACCTCAGGCGACAGTGTCTTCGAGCCGCCCACTCCCTCCCAGGGGCTCCAGGAGCCCGGACCAGAGGAGTAGGAAGAGGCGTACGATGCAAAACGACACAGAAGGTGGGACAGGAAGGGGGGGGGCGGGAATCGTCCAGCTCTCCGGAGAGGCTGGCAGAGGGAGGTGAGGACGCAGGAGGCGCGACAGCACGCGGCGAGTACGGTCAGAAAGCTAGCCTACCTTCCTCACTCCTGGCCGAGGGTCCAACGCGAGCCAGCGGATCGCCTCACATCCGGGTATCAGGAGACAGCTTCGTCTGCCCCCTCTCCCGCGGCGCAGATACGCCAAACTTCCGGCGACGACGGCGACGCCTCGGCCGTCAGATGGGAGTTACCTGTGACCGTCTTGGTCGCGCTTGCGCAACGCTCCTCTTCAGCCGTCACAGGCTCAGCTGACGTGCCCAGAGGAGGAAGATGGCCGCCACGCTCGCTGCGTGTCGCGCAGTTTTTCACCCCCCGCCGGGACGGCTGGGTATCGGAGGAAAAACAAGCCAGCGTACACCCTCAGCGCAGGCGCGGTGGGAGGCCTCGCGTGCGCGCACCGCGGGTGGGCGTCTCGCCGGGAAGCGGCAGCGCCCCCAGGCGGCGGCCTCTGGCCCTTCCCGGGGATGTCTCTTTAATAAAGGCACCCACGCCCGTAGCTGTGGTTTGTCTTGTAAATGCTTCTTCGTTGGTCCCACTTTGGGTTGCGGGTACTGCTCTCTGCGACCTCTGTTTCAAATACCTTTAATCTTTTACTTGGGCCAATGTAAAGAAAAGGGAAGGCAATTGACCCTTCTCTTTCCTTCCCCTGCAATGCACTCCAGTGCTTCCAAAAAATCCAGGGCTTCACCTTATCCTTACACACTTTCCTCCTTGCGTGCGGACGCACGGGAGTCGACAGCAATTGTACTAGATTTAGTCATGGCGGGTGTTCAGACAAAGCTTTGGCTCTTCGAAACCTCTAAAGATGGAACACAGGTTTCAATCACTGGTATTCGTGGTTCCCACACTCTTGAACACGCTTACTGTGCTATTCTTTTTTTTTTTTTAAGATTTTTTTTTTTTATTTGTTTATTCATGAGAGACAGAGAGAGAGAGAGAGAG